CTCGATGGCTTAGAATGAAATTATATTTCGGAAACCATTCCAGAGGATCCTTCTTGCCAGCGATGGCATGCACCCTGAAATGCGTTTCACTTTAAGTGTTATTCCGAAATCAAACGCAATTTCTTACTGTCTTCCGTCATCGGTATGTTTCTCTTGTGTACCAGGCAGAACACGACTTTGAAGAAGTACAAGTTATAAGTAAACATTCGATTCGTAGCCCAGTTTATTTGGCCTGCCTTGATGCCAGGATATACGTGATTGTTATTATTTTTATTCTATTTCCATATGCATAAGGATTGTTCTACAGTTGTTTAATTTAATAATCACCGAAATATTAGATAAATGAAAACGAAAGGTCATAATAAACTGATAAAAATAATAACTCAAAGTTATGTAATTAAGTTGACTGAACCTTCGCTTTATGATCTGGTGCATTTTCTCTCCAATAATTTGACACTAATTGACATCAACAGTATCGCTCCAATAGTAGAAAGAAGAAGGGTATAAAGCTTTTTTTACAGTCCTCGAAAGTTCGAAACCCTTCATTAATTCCAACCAATACTTATGCGGAATATCCTGGTAGTTTGCCAGAACGTTTGTGGCTACGGGACAGTATCAATTCACTAAATGCATATTTTGTTATTGCCTTGTTTCATTCTAGGAACGGCTTTCGGAAAAAAGTGCGAAAATGGGGTGATTCTAGTCTACGTACTATTCAGTGTGCTTATCTTTCGCAGAACTCTTGCCACGTGCTGAGTATGAATCTCCCTATAATACTTTATACGTGTGCTCCGAGTAATTTTCTTCAGTTCTTAAAACATAAGTCATTTATCCAGCTATTTTTTGCCGCTATTAAGTCATCGTATTGAGATTCCTGAAAAATTATCTTATACACAGGACATCCGTGTGCACTGCTAACCCCCATATATTTAAAATAACAAAATTGTTGAGCAAGAAATTATTTATTTTTTACATGGACCTTGTTGAGTACTGCTCAACCGCAATTGTCTCAGGTATCATCAAAAGTAAATAATTCCCATTTGAGGAGCAATATTTGAGTTAACCGTCCAAAATTTGAGATTTCAAGGTAGAATATTGTTGCGCTAATTAATACTACATTTCTCTCTTTCAATTGGAGGGCGAAGAAAAAACCAGCCAATGGCATTCGAACGACAAAATGCCGTATAAAATAAGGAAACATCCAGGATCCCGGATGCCGAGATCAAAATGAATTCGAAGTCTAAACATGTTTAGTAAGATATTTTGAAAATTGATTTATCATGCTGTATTTTTTATTGATACGCACATTTTATATGACTGATAAGAATGTTTACAATATCAATTATTGTTTTCATAAAAAGGGTACAGAAAAAGCCTGTTAAGTGGTCCTTAAAATGCTGTCTTTCGTTTAATAATAAAAGCATATTTTTAAATCTGAACGTTATTATTTGAGCTTTATAATAGCAGAAAGTTAAACGCTGCTTCGCCGTTTTTGTATGGAGTGCAATCTGAACAGTGATTACTTAGTAAATAAACACAGATTTTTTTATCCAGTTTCAGCTGTGATACCGATTTTATTCAATATAATTTTGCAATGCTTCAGTACAAAGGCTTTTGTGATTTGGTGATTTTTCATTTGCACACTGTCGTAGGAAAATACGTGTAACAATGTGGATTTCATCAATATATTTTTTTTTCATTTTTTTTAAAAATTTATTGGGAGAATTAAAGCAGTATTGTTGCAGGGTTCAAAACCATCAAAGTAATTTCAGCGCAGCAGTGGAATATGAAGGATTGCAGGGAGCTATAATTTTCGAGGTGAAATTATACCCGCAAAATTAACTTGATAATATTCGCTAATTTACATTTATATTTTTTGAAGGCACAAAACAGATACTAAGATTTAATTTCAGTGGCATGGTTCCAAGCAAATGCGCAAATTTTCGATGATCTGTATTGCTACAGAAACAGTAGACAAATAAGCCCTTCGGTTTTCATTCCTGGCTTTTTTGAACACCATTTTGGCACAATTCAAAGAAGACACCGAAAAGGCCTTTTTAATATCACCACTTAACTTCATTGGTACAGAAAATTTGATACGTTCTTGTTATACAAAAATGAATGTATTAAAGGAATTAAAATAGAAAACCCATATTACTTCATATTTCTGTGCAGATTAATCTAGTTTTTTGTAAACATTGTTGTTTTTAAAACATAACATCTAGTGAAAAAGTGCAAAAATTAAGGCACCAAACAGATAAGCTCAAATCGAGAAAAATGTGTGCCTTTTTTAAGACTGGTCTCTACTTGCGTGTTTGTACGCTAATACAAATCCTAACAGTAACCTTAAAACGAACACTGCTTTCATCCTTAACCTAAAATTAACCCAAACTCCAATACAAATTATAGGAAATTATATTTCCATACCTTAGCATGTGAATTGCCGGCAACTGTATTTGATGACGATCTCAATCCTGCTAACTAATATAATTTTTTGTAGACAAGATCGAGAGAGCAAATTACTCCATCCATTATATTTAGTATAACGCTTGATTTAGATATCTGAATCCTCAACATTCCTTCATAGTATGGTTATTTTCAACTGTAGAACACATTGGAAGCATGTATATTTTAATACCGGTGCACGAACCTTGATAAATTCAAAAAAAAATTGGACGGATTTGGATAGGTTACTTCGGTTCGTAGCACATCACACTGTAACGTGGGAAAAAGTAGACATTTTGAAATTTTGAAAATGCGCACTGTCTTTCATACACTTGCTCATGAATCAAAAAAAAATATTTAAAATTCAATGAGAATGCTTAGCTTTTTTAATTTCGGAAAATGCCAAAGTTGACAGACGCTGTAATTATCATCACTGCTAAGATGACAGAGTAGAGTAGTCTTGGCAGGCTTAATTAATGCCTGGAGCCTGTCAAGGGAAAATGACTGAAAATCCAAAAACAAACCAACCAAAACCATCATTGCTTCAATTACTCTAAATTTCGAATTCTGGATTCCCCGCTGCTAGAAAGGGAAACGTCGACAAGCAATTGCTGAAATGCCTCAATCTTTTCAATAAAATTAAGTATACTTTGTTGCACATCATGTAATCTTTGTGGCTAAGTATCTTAAACTATGTTTTTATAGATAAACCTTATGAGGTATAATAATAAAAATATTCCAAAACGTTTAATGTTTTTGGAAGCAATTATTAACGACCAGGGAAGCTTCATCAAACAGATATGGTTATTAAAGGGATAGAAAACCTTTTTCAATATTAACGCCTTAGGCCCTGCTAATATTGTGCATGGCACCTTTCTACAAAACAGAATTGAGCGGTCGAATGTTTTTAGTCAAAAATATTAGATTTGCAACATTCGTAAGCTGCAAACACTGTACGTTTACATTGTGGATATCAAAATTCGCTGATGAATGTGCATCAATCGCTAGCGGAAGTGACTGCTTCTGCTCTGGCTTGGGTCTAATTCTTTGTGCACATACAGAAGCTGTATCGGTTAGTAGTCTAGGCAGACGCTTCTGTCAGAAAAGGCAACGGAGACTGAAATTACTGTTTCAGGCTTATTGGCCATCGTCAGCAAGGAATACTTAACACAAATTGGTTCACCACCCGAGGCTCAAGCTCTCGAGATTTCTTGATCAGATTCTAATGCTCTCAACATTGAACAACACATTTGTTGCCTTGTCTGTTCATATCGCGATATATGTACACTGGTTTAGTAAGTTCTGTTAGCGTTCGTTAGACCTTCATTAACAAGTGCCAATATCACCGAAAATAAGCCAAAAAAACAACAAACTATGTGTTCAGTGGTTATTGCGATAGAATCTGATCAAATAAGGTTTGCGAGTTCAAGCCTCGGGTGGTGCGTATGACTGATATATGACGGCTAAGAAACACCGTAAGCACTGACTTCTTCTTTAGCGGCCTTTGCGGTCTTTGCTTGTTTGTGATTTTCTTGCAGTGAAATTGACCGGCTATGAATTCTTCCCTAAAACAACCGCAATCCAATAGGGAGGTCCAATAACGATGTTAATGCGATTATGTGTCCTGACATACCCCATTATGGGGCCTCATTGAAGGGAGCTCAGCTTTCATGCAGCTTAGCTCCCTGTTCTATTTTTGTCATGGGTAGCTCAAATCTTCAACCCTTCAAGTCCCAAATCAATCCTGTTGAAATATGTTTGCTTCTCGTCGAAAACAAACAAAATAACAGATACTTCAGACACGTCGAGGTGCGAACTGTTGAATGATCTGCTGCAACATCGAATACAAAAGCTTAAAAGCATATAAATACCTCCTTGTTAATTTTAGCAAAAGTTCGAAACTGCCTCATTATGTATTATGATTTGTTGCAAATGAGTTTCAATTCGCCCACACATTCAAATAATTTGTAACTTTTTCACCTGCACACAACTATTTATTTGATGCACTTGGTAGAAAATTAGGTTCCGTTAAAAGTATACTTACAAAATTAATGTTTGCTTTTGGGAAAATTTTAAGTTATCGATTATTTCTAAACCTGGCCTGCTGTTAAACATAACTTGGGGTTTACTAGACTAAATACCGTTAATGTGCCCGTGTAAAAACAATAATA